TATCACTGGTCTTATTATTTTGAGGTGCAGGAGGTGGCGAGCGTGGTCACCTCATGGCTGCTGCTGTGTTCCAATATTTTCGGGGAGGGCTTATCTTAGCCCATGCGCTCAAAAGCCCAATTGGGCTTATTATCTGGGGAGGGCTTATTTTAGGGAAAACAGGGTAACATGCTTTAAAACGATTGATTGAAATTCTGTGAAGAGAGATCAAGATCAAAATATAAGCCCAGTGATAAGGCTGAATACTTGAAAAATTAAAAGACATAGTTTAAGGGAAACCTGGGGTTCTCTTCACTAATATTTCTGTTGCTATATCTGTCAGTCTATTTTAAAAATGTAAGATTCCCTCTCAAAAACATGTTTCAGTTTTGGACTAACATTCATTTTATCAGACTTGTAAGTTAAATTAAGAAACTTTAATATGCAAGACGTCAAGCTTTACAAAATTCAGTAGATTCTATTAGATTAAAGCCATAACAATTAATTGAATAACTTGAAAACTATTATCCTATATCCATAAGTTTTGGGAGGTAATTTTTGATATTTATTATTATTAAAGTATAAAATATCAGAATGTATCAATAAGTTCAAAACTATCAAACTTCCCTTCAACTTCTAAAGATTTCAAAAAGGCACACCAATGTTTTCTTGGTCTTGCCTCATTCATGGTTTATTTTCTCATTTTCACGTAATAACTTGGAAACATTGCACCAATATCTCAAAATAAGTCAGCTTATTTGCAGCTGACTAGCAAAATGACTGACTGCATGTGTTTAATTAAATTCATCTTCCCTTTTTGGGAAGCATTAATTTTTCTAGTCCTCCTCAGAGGGTAAGGGTCTTACTCCTACTTTCAGTTCAATTTTGCTTCAATGGATGTAGCTTGAAAACCAGTGATGATTATTACCTGAACAGCAATAGCTTAAATCTGTCCAAAAATTACAGCAAATTTTGAGAAATATCCCCAGTCTATTGACAGATGAACCTGCCCAATTCACTAAGATAATCCTGTTATGGTTTTATTTAAGACCCATTTCTATAGCTTACATTATGACCTGGTTTGCACAAGATATTTAACCTGGTCTTGTTGCCTTAGTGATCCTGGCAGAACACTCTCATCCTAATTTGAGTTAAGAGGATTACCTTGTACATAGAAAACAGGTGAGAGAGATGGATATAAACTATCTAGTATTTCAGCATATAGTTTGAGCTTCTTAAAGTTTGTAAACTAGGATTACTCTTCAAATTTCCAGAAAGCATCTAATTAATCAACATTTATACTCAGAAATACACTTTTTCCCCTAATGTTAATGTGAAGATTTTGATTCTAAAAGGAGCTAACTCCACCTCAGGTTCCCCAAATCTCTTTCCATATCTGACAAACCACAGCTGCCATGCATTTGTTTCCATAAACTGCATGTGGATGTAACCCTCTGTCCTCTGCTATAACAACAACAAATAAATCAAACACAAGATTGCATGCTTTTAATTTTAATAAACTTCAGCACAATGAGAGTGTGTATACATATATATATATATAGTTTCAATCACATATACAGAACAAAATTCTGGGACTAAAACCAAGTTAACGTGAGTTGCTTTTTTTTCCCGGCCTGGGAAGCACCAGATTGGGGATCTTGTGGGGTTTGCAGTCATCGGCACATGGAACGTAAGCTTTGGAAAGGAATAAAATAGATAAAGCAGCACAGACTGGTGGTATGTTTTGAGGGAAGGAACAATACTGGAGAATGACAACAGAGCTCCAAATGATTTCTTTCCTCGGTCTGGCTCAAAGAGTGCAAAATGCCTTCATTTTTGGATGCCGCGCCACTATTCTCTGGAAAAAGTTCTTCCTGCCTTTCTCTCAGACTAAGCACAGCAAGTATGCAAAAGTTAATAATTTAACTGAAAAAACATATTCAGGTAACACAATAGAGCATGTAGTACATTTTAGGGGAAGGGACGTTGTTTCATTGGAAATGCTCCAGCATTTCCCCTCAGCACAACGGCGGAAGAGAATTCCACCAGCGTTCCAGGAAATTTAGTCCATGAACTTCCTGTTACTGTTGGCACCAAAAAGTGCTGTCCGGATCTCTGGCATCATCTGTTGAGGAAGGGGAAAAAAGAAAAGTTCTGAGTATTCCTTGACGATCCAGCAAATTTTTAGAACATGCTTAAGAGTCATTCAGTCAAAAGTTGTTCTGACCTAGGCTTCCCCAAAAAGCACGAGGCAGAGTCCTGGTCCTGACAAGACCCTTTTTATTAAAGGAATGTGAATTCCTCTCATTCCTATTCAGCAAGGCCTGGCAAGCAGTCTTTCAAAGGAATATTTATGACTACAGACCTTATCTCTATCTTGGAAAGCTGCCATGTAAATATTTTCCAAATGAGGTGCTGTGCAAGGGAAGACTGGGCACAGAGTCTCTGAGATCAGGGACAGATTTTCGC